AGATGTGTACATTTCTTGCCGAATGAAATCACAATTGGCTGGATTTGGAAGGTTCTTAGGACTTTAAATACAAATAATTCCAATAATCCAAGATTAATTGGAGTTAAGGCCTTTTTTAAAATTGCTTAAATTCTAATTGTCAAGCAATCTCAATTTCTCATTTTAAAAAAAAAAAAAAAAACTCTTACGACTATGGAAAAATTTGTACCATTTAACAAATTATTCTTAGAAGTAGAAAAATTTTAAGTTTTCCTATTATTCATTATTTTATTAGTAGCAAAAGCACCACGCAGTCTTTTTTATTGTTCATTATTTTTTTTAATCATCATAGTGTTTTTTATGAAATAATAAATTGTTATATCTATAAATTATGTGATATGCACATGACGGGAATTCTCACTGATAGCGGGAATCTATTAGCCTCAATTCCTGTCGATGTGAATAGTCCAAGCAGTCTTTTTTTATTGTTCATTATTTTTTTTAATCATCACAATGTTTTTTATGAAATGATAAATTGTTATATCTATAAATTATGTGACATGCACATGACTGGAATTCTGACAGGGTCTCAATTCCTGTCGATATGAATAGTCTATGCACGAAAGATGATTTAAAATTATTTTAAATATTTTCCTTATTATGAAGATTATTCCTTTATTTCAAAAAATTTGGTTGGGTATAAATGTATATATATTTTCCTTTTAAAATGGCTTCGGTGGATATATTGCACTAAATAAACAAAACACATATTGTCTTGAGTAAATTTTCTAATTTTACTTTTATGATTTCTATGTTATGCGATAAAAATGTAAAATATAAATTCATATAAATCAACTTGGTGGTTATATTTTCCCTAAAATATAAATTCATATAAATCATAAAGAATAATAATAATAATATTGCGACCAAATTAAATTTCAATTCTTTTGTTAAAACCATCAACTAAACTTTTTAAAATCCACAACTAAGATTTAATTACAATCAATAAAAGTTAGTGCAAGTTAAGCCTTTCAGTAGTTGATACAATAAGGTCTTGCATTTAAATTGGGTCGCTAAATATTTAGCTCATATTTTGTGGTGATTAAAATCAGATTTTTAGAGAATTTGATAAAAAAAAATTATAAAATGACTGATTGAAAAGTTATTGGCTCTATGAAATATATGATTAAAATTAATTGTTGATTTAATTTAAATTAAAATTTAGATTTTAATTCTTACCGAACAGAGACTTATTGTCTCGCCGACGTAGGCTTGTCCTTCTTGTAAATATTGATGTGTTTCCAACCTTATGTGATTGCAATGCTTAATGCTGAAATTATCATCCACGTACTATAAATAATGAACATAGAAGTAGTCAATAACATTAGTCTATTCCATCTTTTGTATATTCCAGTCAAAGTGGGTCATAATTGCTTTGGTGATGGATTCAACATTTAGCTAGTATCCACCTTCGCACGGAACGTTACTGGAAAATTCGGGACTGACATTTATTAAAGGACCGTACTGGAAGATTCCTGTACTACCAGAGAACAAACAATGGGGTGGGTGGGTGAGGTTTTGCCAATTTTTTATTCACATAGGGCCATCCTCACGTGAGACAATTTCAAAATCCTGTGTCAAATTTTGTAAAATTTTGCCAGTACTCACAGCTTCATCCTTTATTTAAGGAAAAGAAAAATGATTTGACACATAACAATTAAAATAGAGATGTCTAACTCCAAGAGTCCAGTCAGAGGCGATAAAAATTCAAATTTGAAATAAGCCCCTCTCTGATACCCAATCTGTTTGAAAAATAATTTTTGAAATAGTGATTAATGGAAAATTGCGTGGTTAAAAAGTAATGAGAATTTTTTGGTTTATGTGTAATATTATTTTATTAATAGAATGTGTAGTTGAAATGAAAAAAGAGAAATAAAATGAGAAAAAAAATAGATGTCAAACAGGGGCTAAGTTGTTTCTGTGCAATTTCTTGAAACCAAATTTCAACCTCTTCTTACGGTATTTGGTGAGAACAAAAATCAAATTTTTAGTAGATTTTGATAAAAATTAATAAAATGTATGATTAAAAAAAGGTGGTTCTCATAAAATATGTGATTAAGATTAATTATTAATTTTAATCTAAATTAAAATATAAAATTTAATCCCGACGAGCATGGTAATTAACTTGGAGAAAGATAAAAAAGAAGAAGTTAAAATGGAAATCACTTTTGGGACAATGGAGGAGCAAGTAGCGCAACACGTTTTTTTCTGAGCTGCTTTTGTCAACAACAATCATTCTTCTTTTCAACTTAATCCTAAATGTTTAAAATAAATTGGTTAAAATCCACAAACTTGTATAGTCGTTTTACTTAGATGCCCGACTTTTTGAAAGCGAAAATTGTTACGGGTCAATATATGAAAGCAACACGTTGCACCGTATTTTAGCGATGGGACCA